AGATAGATAGATAGATAGATAGATAAATAGATAGATAAATAGATAAGAGGACATCAAATATTAGAAGGTTAAATAATGGATTTATCGTCTTTGCACTGAGACTCAAAACTAATATTCTTGCCTTGTTTTTGAAATTCAGAAACCTTGAATAATGATCAAGTTAATTAATTTATTATGCCAGTTTCCTTACTGCTGAATCTGAGCAGGTTTGGAGTACGTAGTGTCTCTACAGTAGTAAATAACAGAACAAAGTATATCCTCAAATCAGACTAAATACTATCGGTTTTTGAGTGGGCTGTTGGACACTATTCTGCCAAATTTGCAATATAGATGAAAACATTTTTGTTAAATCTTAGAGAAAACATTTAGATTTCTCTTTAGTTTAATAAACACTTTATGTATCTCTCGCTGTTGAGTATAAAATGATATTGTTGTATCCTATCTGTTAAAACAGTATACTATGATGATAAGTGATTACTACATATGTATAGAATTAAAATGTTGTGTGTTGTGGCCTCGTTCGTCTTCACAGTAGATGGAGACTCACTTGCGTCCTGGACGTAGAAGTATGTGGGCTCGGTCCAGGATCCGTTACCAGCCAGAGAGGTGGCGCGGATCCTCACTGTGTAGTTCCCAGGATGCATCACTTTCAGCTTGCAGCCACGGGTCACTTTGTACATCTTCCTCGACACGCAGTAGTGCAGCTCCTGCAGAAGAACAACAGCGAGAGGTTCAGGCAGTGGACAACAAACAGCTGCTTCATAATTTCCGAGTTTAAAATAACATTTTGACTCATTTTATAGGATATATCATTTCCTCTCTCATGTTTTTTATGTTTCCACTGTGGAAAAAGTTGCTTTTTATTGTTTTCCACAGCAAATAATAGTCTGCAGCAAGAGCCAGATGTTTTGTTGAGCTGTCTCCTTAGCAACTAAAACATGGTGCAACGCTAGAATTACTTCTCCATTAAGTTAATCAACCAAATGACATGAGCGAGACCGCAAGACCAAATTTCAAAACACCAATAATAAGTATTGCCTCTCTTATTTGTCTGTGCTGCATGACTAGTTTTAAGATGGATCAATTTAATTAGATTCTCAGTTAAATTGTCTCTCATTAGTAGCCTGAGCCATTATGTTTAATGAGAAAGGGGGATATAAAAAGGGCTTTCTGAGTAAAAATGACTGCATGTGTTTACGTGTTGTGCTGAACTTGGAGTGAACTCACTGACCCAACGACTTCAATCACTACAGACAATCAAGCACTAAAGGCATGGTAGAGGTGTGTGTGTGTGTGTGTGTGGTGTATTTCTTCACCTCAGTGTCTCCCAGCCTCTTGTAGTTGACCTCGTACAGGATGATCATGCCATTAGGGGCGAGCGGTTCCCGCCATGCGATGCGCACTGTATTTTCTGACACGTCGTAACTGATGGGACCCACAATGTCGTCGGCTTTGTCTGTGGAAAACAAAGTCACATGGTTTCATGAATCATATTTCTATTAACACTCAGGTTTGTTTGGAGTAAATAGGAGATGAGATGCTGGTGTGTCCTAATGTCATGGGGCCTCCTGGCTGTTTTTATACTAACTATCAAACAAACCCAAAAAGCGACAGACATCACTATAAAAAGTCCCATGAAATTGTATCATTAACTCCATAATTTGATGCAATTCTTGTTGACACAGGATGTTGGGATGAGGACTTTGAGACATTTACAGGAAGGATGATGGTGAGGGAACAATTTTAAAAGGTGCTGTATGTGAAATCGGCATTTTTGGCTAACTTCCTGTACGTTCTTGCAGTTACCAGTCCCCCTCCCTCCTTCCCACGTCACCACACTGACATCCTGCTGCCTGCTCTTGAGGACTACCTCTTTGTGGAATGGGATACCAGAAAATGTATTCTCCATTGAGTGCAGAAAGGAGGGACTGTTACTGCCTGAACGCTCTTACATCAGCGATGGCTGTCCGAGGTAGAGCTATTTAACGTGTGACAAAAAATATAGCTTAGAGCACCTTTAAGTTTAAACCTTGAACCAGTTAAAGGGATTTTATACATCAAAACGTCTGTTTACAGGTCCTGAAGAGTACTGCTGCGTATGTGAAAAGGGCTGGATCCAGAGGGAGCTGTGCAGAGTCTGATACGATCGGGGCTGAAGAAGACTATACGTTTGAAAATGAAAAGAATCTGTGAGTGTGCAGCTAGAAAGAAATGAGCTTACCAGATCTCTGTAGTGCACTGCTCATCTCTGCTCGAAGCTACATTATCTGCTACTAGCATAAGACACCCAAATCTCAGACCGAATTGTCGGTGGTTGAGTTGCATTGTGGGTAATGTTTTTTGACAAGAACGAAGGATGTGTGGAACAAAAAAGACGATGTCTTTGGTTCTGCTGGGTCGACTGTGATCCTTTTTTTTTTTTAAACTGTCCATTGTGAGTTGTGAGTCAGACAATGCTATGAGCACAATACTAAATACTATTTTCAGTATAAACCAATGGACTACTTGCGCCAAGAAAGGTTGTTTAATTTGATAGAAGAAAGCAGAAAGAATTAAAAGTCTTCATTCGACCTTCTAAAACTCCCTTTTCCAAGAAGTAACTGCTTTCCCGGGAACTCAAGTTCCAATTTTATTGTGTTTTTCAACAAAAGATTTGAGGAATTGCAACCCACTGCACAAAAGCACCTCAGTAACGAACGCATCAGAACCAAAGATGTTGCCAAAATAATCAATTTGTTTGTTGCCAAACAAACAGATGAGAATCTTTAAACTGAAAACGTTTTCTTTCTTTACCAAGATTGAGCCCAATGGAGGAATAATCTGTGAGAGAGAGGATGAGAAGCCACAAATGTTCAGAGCTACAGTAGATTCAAATCAACAACATCTCCAGGCTCAAGGCACCTTCTGGATGATGATGTGATTTTAATTACACAGACCCACTCTCTTCCCCTCATTAGTAACAGTAACAAAAGAAGAGCTATCAGTGTCTCCTCACCTTCGGGCATTGTGCGTGCGCTGACGTACGCTGCCATGCTGCAGCGGCTCGGGTCGGTCGCGTGGTTGCAGGCGTGGATCTCAATCTGGTAGCTGGTGAAGTGGCGCAGGTTAGAGATGACAGTGGACTCCTTGGCGTGGACGGTGACCACAGTCTTTGTGCTCTCAAAGGTCTCCTCGTCTTCGTCATCGGGGATGCCGGTGCCGTGGGGCGGGCTGGGGGCAGTTGTAAGGAAGGGGTGTGTTCGGTTGGCGATGCCCATCACAGAACGTCGCTGTCTTGAGCGTCTAGACAAGGCAAAGCAAGTTTAAACTGGTTTACATAATGCACAAAAGAGGTAACATTTGAAAAAGGGCAAGGAAGGAACATTTTAAAGAAATTAAAAAGATGAAAACACAGAATTAAGTAGGGGGGATTACAGGGAGCAGTAGTTGGAGTCACAATGATACAAAGAGTTAAACTGCCAGTACACTCAGTCTGTTGGACAGCTTCAGAAACCCCCAACTGTGTCTGACAATTTCTGTAACTCTACCAATCTGATTATCGGACATTACACTTAGTTCATGATGTGCTTGGCCGGCTGGGCGGCGGTGAGAAAGGAGCCAGTGTTTAAACTTCTTTCTCTAGCTCTCTTTTTTTTCTATCATTTTTAGTGTGTAATACTGAGTCAACACTATGACTGTCTGAAGATGTGTGTTGTTATTCTCATATTTGACTGATATCGCATCTCCTCTCTCTCTATATATCGGCCGGCTTTTCACCCCGCCTTCCACTGTGGCCACTCAGAACAACTATAAGTGCTTTTGATGACCAATGCGGTTGGACAACACATCGTACAGTGTCCCATTCTGAGTGCTAGGGTGTATTTACATATATATTTTCTTGTTTTTGGTCTGAAAGAATCTTAGTAGTCCAGAAATACTTTAACGTTATTGGGCAGAATGTATTAACACTATTTGATTTAGTCCCAAGACTCATACTTTTCTTTTCTCAGACTGTTTATCATAATCTAAATACAAAACACAGGAGAACTTTAATTTGTTGCGTGGGAAGTTAAACTGAAAGCAATGTTCATCTGGACTGAGTTTAATAATATGAAGACAAAGAAAAGCTATTTCTGATTTACTCTGAATTGACTGAACCCTTCAAAAACTCTTCTCTTGAGGACGTCTTTCATTATTAATAAAAGGGAATACTCTGTTCTCGTACTTGATCTCAAAGACTTCATTGTGGAGGTAATTCTCAAATGTTTTGCGGTACTCCGAGTCCTCTTTCTCCTTCTTGAGCTCTTTGTCGGTTTTGGGGCAGGCGCAGCATCGCGTCGCCTGGCCCTGCTCCTCCGTCTGGTTCCACTTCTGCTCCTCGTCACTGTCCATCTGAGTGGGCACCCTTGACGGCAACTTCATCCCTAGTGAAATGGAGTCCGACATCCAGAGAGGAAAAAAAAACAACAACAACATACAATTAGACAGAATTGGATGACAGGTGCAATAAACACAGACACACATCAGTCTATGCTCAAATATTCACGCACACATCCTCCCACACACATGCCTGAGGGGCATGTCTGTCATTGTCATCCCCAGGTCCTCACCCCATGTAGTGGAGATAAATTACCAGTGACACAACCTCCCCGCAGAATCCCATCTCTCTGGATATGTGGGAGTTATGAGAGTTCAAAAGAGGAAAGTTTGGGCTTGGTTGTGTGCTAACATGGAAGGGCACTGACGGGAGAGCGTCGACAAGGGTCAGGCTGTGACGGGAATAATTCAACCAAGATAAATGTCTGAACTTTGCCTGAACCCGAGCCGGAGCGAGAGGAAAATCCTGACTGTCCCGGTGTAAGTTTCATATAGTTTAAGCTGCATAAGAGCACCCAAATAAGACATTCACCTTTACTGCACTTGATTTTCTTACTCGGTGGGTAGAGAGTAGCATTTCCTCTGTTAAGGACAACGGTTCAATTCACAAAAGGGTCACTACGTTACTACTATATTAAAATGCACTCAAACTGTTCTACAAATGGCCTTTCTGTCTAAAATCTCACCCAGCTGGGGCGACATGAGCGCTGTGCCTTCGATATAGTGCTGCCGTCATGTGTAACATTTTTTGTGCGTTTTCATGTAATAAAACATGACATGCAACTCTGTGGGTTGAAGACATCCTGCCAGTGCTTGTACAGCTACTGAAACCTTTTTTGGAAAATGTGAAAGATGTGTTTTAGTCAAGCTAACAGCAAGGCATGGCACATGTATGAAAATGTATTCTTTTTTCCTGGTCCTAGACAATGAGGTTGAGTTTGTTTAGGTCGTTCAGTTGATATGCTTTTTTTGTTGTTTTGTATGTTCGCTGTGGTAATCGTTGGCAAGACTGTGTTCTCTTTCGTTGATTTAGTACATAATGTAGCTTGATATATTTGGATCATCAAAATAAAATCTACCCATCAGGGAGAATCAGATCACTTTCACCAGAGTGTGTTGGCAGCAGACTTGAAATAGTCAAGAGCCTTCAAGTGAAAGAGCTCTTCTACTAATGAGAAGATGGCAAAAGACATTCTTTCTCGCTGTCTCTCTCTCGTGCTCTCACACGCAGACAAAACCACTAACACAGAAGCAGACACAAGAACAGGACAACCACAAACAATGTGGCTCACCCTTCTGACAGTAGTCAAACTTGTAGAGCTCGCTGGCTTCGGGCTGGCGCTGGCAGAACACCAGATAGTGAGTGATGTTGCCGTTGGGGTCATTGGGAGGTTTCCACTTGAGGATGATCTGGGAGGAAGAGTTGGACGAGGACATGGGGTCCAATGGGACTGAGGGTTCTGGAGAGACATAACAGAAATACAGAAGAGGGTTTTTTTTAAGTAGGAATGAGATTCTCATTCAGATTTTAACAAAAGAAAACAACTGTTAGTCTCGATGACATTCAGTAAAAGTCATGCACGTTTCAGTGAATTTCTACAAATGAATCATTGGGATTTATCAAAGATAGCAGAGGAGAAGTGCTGTTTCAATGTTATTTGCATTTCATGTCGCAGATAAGTAATGAAACTGGCAGGGCGTTGCTCTGTGACCAACAGCTGCCTGCTCTGCGTACTTGCAGTTTTAGTTTATTACACAACTTGATGGGTGTTTTGCTGATATTAGCCACTTGTAATGTTACCACATTCGATATTCGGTACATCTGAGGGATTGCAATGAGCGCTGGGTGTTTATCAGATGTACAGATTTAGCTAGTTTTGTTGTTGAATATGCACATTTTGGAAGATATTTAAATACCATTTTTAATACTGATTGTAAGTTTGAACAACTTCTCAACTCACTGGTGTATATCGTGGTTTCCAGTGTGGCTTTGGTAGGTTTAGTTTGGTTCTTTTTTAAGTGTTAACTTGTGGTTTCAATGTTTTGTTTCAGTTCCAGTTTTCAGAAGTTCTGGCAGGTGCTGTATTTTATGTCTTTTATATCTATGTCAACAATGTTTATGTAACATGTAGTTTTAGTTTTAGTTTACTGCAATAACAACGAATTAGTTTGTGTTGACAAACTTTTTATGACACGCGTGCTACGTGGAACAATGTGTGGTATTGTAATGGCAGTCACAAATCATTAACAATGAAAAATGGATTCAAATACATTGTTATCTTTAAAATGAGTATATCCATTTTTTTATGAATGGTTAACTCAAATGTCAATGAATAAAGAGATGCTTTAAAACACATTGCATATATATTTTGTATTTTTTTTTTTTAAAACCACAGTATGTTTAAAGTCTCCTGAGTTTATTATTTTGTGTACATAATCTATAGGATGCAGTATAAAATGACTGTATCATTAGAAAATCAAATCAGTACAGTGAGATTAAATCAAAACAGCATTTCCACATTTCCTTCAAGATGACGTGACATGAGATATTTTGACATTTATAAGCAATATAACATCTCATGTTTACGAAAACACAGTTTAAACACAAATTATGTACTCTAATTATATAATTAATAGAATAAAATATGCCGTATGCCTCCTCCTTGCCTTACAGTCGGCCATGCTCGCTGAAAAAGGGTGTGTTGCTCTCCTGCAGTCCACATTAAATGATGTGGAACACTGCGATTGGCTTATATACCATGATAGATATGAAAGGGTTAATTTACGTGTATTTTAGCGTTGCAAAACAAATTGCATTGTGACGCACATTTTTCTATTCCTAATTCGATCCTGCTTAGTGAACACAGATTAACTAACGCAAGAGGCATAATAAACATGAGTCAGTGTGTGATTTGCAAAAGCAGGATGGGGACTCGCTCTGGCACCAGCCACAAGTGCTTGTTGTTGGTGAGAATTCAATACAGCTAAAAATGTCTTTGGCAGCCAAAGAATTATTGTTTCAGGACAGATTGTATTTTCTAGCCTATTATACATCTGAATGTGATCTTTGATTTGCATTAACTGTGGCTGATAAAGTGTGCAGCAAGTACAAAATGAGGTTACCAGCTACATGTGGCATGAACACTGACTGGCATCAACGTATATCTGATTGGCGGAAAGTCGTCTTTTGAGTAGACATATGAATCAGATTTTCGAGTGGGAGGGTGGAAGAGACACTTGTCCTGGCCTTAAGTGTAGTAAGAGCTCTGAGAAGAATTGAACAAAGGTTTTACGTGCTGATCTATAATTCAAAAAAAAGAGTGTGTGATAAGGAGAATAAATGGGAGGTAGGGAGGGTGCACGCGGATGTCAGACTCAACCCTATGGAGACGGAGAAACGAGAGCTTTGTTGTCACAGTGTGATTATGTTGTCCCTGTTTTATTCACGCTGCAACACACTGGTCCGACCGCATTGTCAGTATCAGTTTCATCAGCAACAGCTCATTGGTAATGACAGCTTTGCCCTTCCAACGAGGTATGCTGGTTAGACGCGACGCAGACCGAGAACCTGGAGCGGTTGCCAGACGGATAGAAAACAACCCTCCCTTGACACGGCTGTCTGACTAGATGATGCGTCTCTGCTGGAGGCCTGTTTCGTGTGAGCGAGGGATGTCATGTTTGATGCGGTTTATCAGGAAGGAAACGCACATGGTGTAAGAGGAAGCCAGTTAGACAGGACACCATGACTATGACAAACCCAAACTGCACACGAACCACACTGTGGGTGGCAGAGTACAATTAAGTACTGGGGAAAGAGATTTATGATTGCTGCGTGACCGACTCATGCAGACACCTTGCACGAGGCGGTGCCCTGTCGGTCACAGGCCCCACAGGCGAATCGTCCCATCTGTCTTCCTCTTCCTCGTTCTTGTGCCAAGGACATTTTGGCAGCAGCCAGACTGTCACACACACAACACTGAATCCACCAGTCAATGATAGTAACACCACAAGAAATGTGGATTCAAGACGGCCCTAAAAATAGATGAACTCCAGTGTAGGAGAAAAAAATAGGCCTTTTCCACTAAGATAGTGCCCCGTAACCCAAAGCTTCCCATAAATTGAACTTTTAATAACCTGTAAGGGTTTGAGGTTCTACCTTGTGGTTCCACTGAGTTTTACAAACCAGAACATTTTTTAAATACGTCACTGAAGAGGCAACATTTCTCAGAACACGTCTGCATTTTCATCCGCCGTTCGGTATGTGAGTGTTGTTGTGGGAAGAGACAATAATGGAATAAATGTGGGCTTCTATCGATTTTCTTTTATGTTTATATGTAAGTCAATATTAATGCATTTAATGTAAAGGGCTGGTGCTTGACTCTTGAATCAGAAGACGGGGAGGTGGAGGTGATGAAAATGTGGAGGAGAACGAACTGTAGAACAGTTGTACATACAACTTGTACCATGTTAAACATGTTTTTCTTCTCCGGTTCAGCTACTCTGAAAGGCTCTGCGACCTGCAGTCACTCAAAACACTTTAATCAACGTACGTTTACGTGTATTTAACAAAAGCACAATTTCATTTAGGGGGGAAAAAGCTCACTACTGGAAAATGTTGAGATATTTTTAATCTAAATACCAACTGAACACTAAAACACACTTCCATATGTTGCTTAGCTTTTTTAGCTAACATTAATTATTTGCACTACATGACCCCTGAAAGTACCAGGAACTTGGATTTAGTTCCACCTTAATGAGAAGTGTTGAAATTTAAGTTAAGGAACAAAACAGAACCAGTAACAATGGCTTCACATTAAGTTACAGGTTGTCAAGTTCCTGTAGTGAAAAAAGTAATCATATTTATAAAGTTAACGTAGCACTAATCCAGAAATTTGAAGTATATCAAGGCGATTTTTTTAACTTAGAACAAGTGATTCAGCACAAATCTAATCAGTCTTACTGGTGGCGTTGGTGCGAACGTAGATGATCTCGCTCTTGGCTCCGTGGACCTGGTGTTCGTCAGAGGCTGAGAGCTGGGTTTTCACCATTATGGCGTACTGAGTCCAGGGCTTCAGAGGCAGGATGAGATGACCTGGTTCAAACTGCTCTTTGTCCCCCTCGGTGGCTCGACGTGGAGGGTCCACATCAGCTATCACCCAGCTGTTGGAGCCGCAGGCATCCTGCCCGTCAAACTCAGTTACGTTCTGAAAAGGTCTATTGTGGGGGAAAAACAATAACAGTGTACGATAAAGAAAAAAATGTTACATGTAGGCCTAAATTGTATTTCAGTAGGGAAAGGATATTGAATTTCAGTTTAGTGTTTCACAGCAATTTATCATTGTATTTATCTGACAGCTAGTAGAGGAAAAGAGCCTTGCAAAACATCAGTGAGGCCAGAAAGAGCCTCAAAGGAAGAATATTCCAGGATATTTTGCTGATTTTAGTATTTTGTAGGGCTGTCAAGAACATCAGCAACATCAATGAAGATGACCCCTGGTTGTATCGACTGATGAATCAGTACAAACATAACATAAATTTAAAGAAACGTCGTTTATATTTTATCACAATTTCTCTCCAAGTGTTTTAAATGAGTCAGTAAAGCAGCAGATTACTATCCACTAGATCTCACTCATCTATATGTTTATATTCAGTTTTTCTTATTATGTAACATGCCTAAGAAGCATTTGTCTGGAAGAGATCCAAGTCCGACTGTGACTGATGATTGAAGATAAACTTACGCTTCTTTGTAGAGCACCATGAAGCCCAGCAAGTCTCTGAAGTCCGGAGGCCAGAAGGGTTCCCACTTCACCATTATTTTATCGCTCATGGTTCGTATCTGGGTGAACTTCAACACATGGTTCTCACCTGAGAAAAAGGCATGAATCAATTAAAAGAAATGAACAGCTTTGAAAGTTTAAAGTAAAGCAAGAAATTATGTAAGATAACATTAAAATATCTGTTGTAGGGAGATATTAGTGAAGAAGAAACATCTGCTTTTGTTGATTTAGTATGGCAACATCCTGATGTCCTGGAGCAGCCGCCCTCTTTCACCTACTCTATCATTTTAAGTAGACTAAATATAGATGAGACCAGGGCCCCCCATCCAAAACTGAGACAACTGCGCTCCCCGCACACACTGCAAAACTCTGAGGCGCAATTTCATATTGTTGACTTTTTCGTCTGTATGTTTTAGGATAACATTGTTGGACTCTTAACCCCCTAAGTACAGCACTTACAATAGAACAGGAACCATAGCCGACCCAATTAGACTGCATACAGTCCTAAGTCCTATCCTAGTTCAGGTATTGGTTCCTAAAAACTGAAGCACCCATAGTTTTTAAAGATTATTATTTGGGTTTATATTGCTTTATTAGACAGGAGCCACTGCAGTAAAGTCTCTTTGTACATGGGGGCATTTGCTCTACAAAGTCAGCTACCAAGGCGTCCCAAGCATCCCTCTATTCCTCTCTTTACTGCCTCTTATCTCTATCGTATTAAGGAAACATATCAAAAAACATAAAAGAGAGATTATACCCTTGTCTTTCGTGTATATAAAAGCACAAAGAACACCGTGTTACCACGTTTAACGGTTGCTTGTGCTTTGCTCTGTTGGTTGTTCCTAGTTAAACAGTGTCAGTAAAAGGTCTGCAGGAAGGCATTTGCAAACAGAGAGGGACCGGAAATGACCATCATAACAATAACTATGGCTGTGTTTGCATCTGTACCAAGGCCGACTTTGTGTTTTCTGTTGCCATAGTAACCCCTGCAACAACTGTCTCGTCTTCAGAGCAGAGGTTCTTACATGAGGCCTGGTCTCCGTTGGTCTTGGAGGCGATGTCGTTCTTGACTTGCCGATCTTTGGTCCCCGTTACCTCCTCCATCTTGCGGATCTCAGACATGCAGAGTTTGGAGTTGTAGTGAAAAAACATGCGTCCCTGCAGGATGGCGAGCTTGTGTTTGGACCAATCCCAGAGCTGCCTCAGGTTCTGGTTGTCCAGGGCATAGAACGAGTAATTCCTGGAAAAGAACACAAAAAGACTGCATGAACTTACTTTTCTTGACGCATAATGACATTTAACTGAGGAGATTATGACTTCTTGGGTAACATGAGTAGAAATGCATGGTGAGCCTACAATTTGCATCATACGCCTATCGTTTGCCGTTTCTACTGTAAGTGTAGCCCATTGTGCTACAAGCGTCTTCCTCCTTGTCTGAATGAAGCTTTATAATGATTTGGGAAAAGTCTAACCAAAAACAGTTACCACAGAAAGACATTTTGAAAAGGTCAGTGCTTCCGCTTTTAACTCATAATTACAGGAGGCTCTGACATGGCGAGGATGAGATGGGCTCAGAGGACGGAGTCTCACCCGATTTCCTGTTCCTCTCCACGAATAACACGGAGTTTGCGGAAAAACGAGAGGGATACGAGGGCGTAGGAACGTCGCACTGTCAGGTAGCCAGTGATCTCCTCCAGCTGGCCCAGGCTGGCCTCCAGTTCAGCTGCAATGTTGTCTACAGAAAAGCAAAAGACACAAACCTTGAAGTGACTTCTGATTCCACAGCATGCTTAATAAAAAAAAATCTCCCAGGGAGCTGCTTGTTCTCTTGGCTGTCTTCAATTTTGGTTTCATCTTTTTTCTTTTAGATGTAAAACCTACATAATATGATTCCCCTAATTAGGCCGTTCAGACACAAAAAATAAAAGTTTGCATTATGTTGCAAACTTCATGGCTAAATTTGAAACCAACAAGCATGAAAGTCTTATTTTCTGATAATTTGGAAATCATGCCCTGCTATTTTCTTTTTCTTTAGGCAGAATGATTGGGAGTATGTGTGCCTATTGTGTGGTGGTGTGTTTCTGTAGATCTACAATAAGTTTGCTGCCTTTTTACATTCATCTGATGCTTTCTTTAAGTCACACGACAACTATGTGTTTGCACTATCGATCTCATTTGCATTTTGAATCTATGTTGTCGACTGTCGATCCTTTTTTAAGGTAATTTCCCTTTTTTTCCCCCCAGTCAGGCTCTTATACTGTTATCTGATCCAAAACAAACCACAGATACTCACTTCCTCCACGCAGGTTGATGACCAGGCTCCCGTTGAGGACAGTGCAGCCTCGCAAAGCCTGAGCGGCCGTGACAGAGTCCACAGTTTTCAGACCCATACATACCTTGGGACAAAGCCCAGCACAAGGAGTGCAGTTGAGCCTATAGAACAAAAGGGGAAAAAACAGTAATAAGAAAACCTTTTTAAGAAAATGCAGAACAAAGCATGTTGGTGTTACACATGTACGATCTGGCAGTTACAGAGCAACATTAGCATTCATTTGGAGTAAAGTTGTGTCCACAAGATGAAGCCCGGTTTTACCCTTCACCATCTCCTGAGGGAAACATGTGGCTTTATATCTGCTAAATGTTCCACTATGTTCACCAGCTACTTCTTAGCTGTGTTTGTCTGTTGTGTGGTGCTGGGCAGTTAGCATAGTTTTTTTTTTTACTAAAAAAAAGCTGCCTGCTTGGGGTGTATACACTGGTGAGACTGAACCAAAAAGACACTTTTAGGGGCCGGGCAGCTAAACAGTGAGCTGAAAGCTGCTAAAATTCTCTGTAGAGCTGAGGGGAACTACAGAGTCGAGGGATCAATCTGTACATGGCCGACACCTTTCACAAACAAGTCGTCATGTGATGTGTAATTTCAGCCGTTTTAAATAGATCATCAGCTGCACTGTATGTGTAACATTTAAAAAAAATGAAGCTCACTTCCTCACTCAACTTGACGTGAATTAATTAAAAAGGAACCGACCCCAACCCTTCACCTTAACCACCTGGCTTACATAATATTGTCATAAGTCTCTTCTCAACAGATATATGGCCACGGCTTTGTGTGCCAACCATATTAACCTATTTCCTGAAAAGCCCTCTGCACAATCCCCACACTCATAATGCCCCAAGTGCAAACTTTGATGAGGTAAAATCCAAAGTACACAGCAATCTCTGCAGCCTCTCAGATTCACTAAGCGAAAAGCGAACATCTTTTAGTGGAGACACGTGTTGCGGAGAACGTTTTTGGAAGAGGATTAAGGCATGATTAGACAACCATGGACTGTTTGCTCGAGGCCATTGTCCTGAGTGTGTTAAAGTATTTTTTGCCGCTGGCTGGTTGATGAGAATGCCTTTGTTTGGCAACAGTTGAGTAAGCTGGCAGGACAATTACAGAAGAATGTGGCATTTCTTTTGTGAATGCCAAATAGTGGGAGCGGGTGGCAGCTAATGTGCAACGGATTTCATGACACTGCACGTCTAATCGGAAAAGTATAAATAAATGAGAAATACAAAACAAGAGTTTGCATTGTGATCTCTAGTCATGTTGTACTTGTAAATGAGATTAATGACAGCTTTTCAACAACAAAACAAACCACCCGTACGAGCTTCAAAAGCCTCAGCTAAATAGTGTGTCTCTGTCTTGCAAATAAAGGAGCATTATATGCATTGTTTCTTTATCTGGCTCATAACTTTCCTGATCCGTGTGGACCTTTTCCCCTCTCTCGTGCCACATTTGCTCTTTCGTCCCCAAGATGCTCATAATGCCTCGGAGTACACCGCTTATCTTCAAAGCGCTTTCATTTCCACAGCTTAGTTTAAAGCCAACGACGGGAGAGAGATGCCAGAGAAGAGATGGGCCATAAGGGGAAACAGAGAGAGAGTCGAAATAAAAAAGGCTGAGATAGGAGTATGGCAGGGTTCACCACAGGTCAACAGTGGCCTCGAGGACTGTCGGTGCAGTGATCTGGTAAGAAGTGATCAAATCTGCACATTGAAAGGCTCATTTCAACTTAATTTGTTCAGGCATTATTCTGCTGCAGTGTGTTGAGCTCTTCATCACACGATACACACACTTCCACTTAAACTACACCTGTGCAAATGTGGGCAAATGAAAATTATACAAGCATATAAAGAAGATATAAAGAAGGTATAACAGTAATTATCTTTCTGTTGAAATACACTGATGTGATCACTTGTAACAAAACTATATTCTAATTTATATATTTTTATCTTATTTGGTTATTACCACAGATTCTACTGATGCCCACGTGTGCAACTTTATGTCTATATCTCTGAGGACAATATGTTAAATCTGCATGCATCTTTGCGTCGTGAACATTATTCAGCCTTCTTATAAACCAGACGTTAACCACACAATTGATCAGCTGATCCCAGACGATGATAAAACACCTCATGCTGCATTTGTGTGACTGGCTGTGTTTAATTTTCATTTTCTCTGTTTCATTTCTTCTGCTGAATGAAAGATATCGTGATTTCAATGACATTACCTGATTAAATTAAAGGTATGTTTAAAAAAAACCCACCTAACTATGTCAATAATGTATTTATGAATATTATAATATGATAATAATGTATGTTTTCAGTGTCGGAGGAAGAGCTGCAGAGTTGCAGAGTGCACCTGCGCCTATATGGATGTGTTATTCCTCCCTTTTCTGATTCTTAACTTGCCCGACCTGAAAAATGGTCGAGGTGCACTTGAGCAAGGCACTTCACCCTCATCTGTCCCACTAGAAACCTCTCAGGTGTTGACTGTACAGTATGTTACTCCGTGAATGTGAAGCTGTATGCTGTTCAAACCAATATTAGGTGCTTGGCAAATCCTGTGTGGATAAATAAATGTTAAATACACATGACGATGCACCGGAGCAGTAGCACAACCACTTTTCCTTGTCATCGGCGTTGTCAGTGACAGACTGCCTGGACTGTGCTGCTGCAGTCGCATGCCAGACGGACCCTCTATCTTACTGCAGTGAGCCAGGGGAGTCGAGGCCCAGCAACCCCGGGACACTGACCGTCCAGAATGCCTCTCTGACTCTGCTGGTGTTTAACTGCTCCCCGGTCAACCAGCCAGTCATGTTGGAACAAAAGACAACAAGTCTTAAAAGATCCAGCTGCGTTTTCAACCTCTGCCACAGCAGAATGATTAGAGCTGTCTGGAGTGACTGTGCTCGCAGGCACGCCCACACTAATCAACAGCCCTGTCACGGTCAATAAAGGTGTCAAAAAGGGAGGCGATGAAGGTCACTGGCAGGTCAGCACAAGTACGACGCCCTTCTTTAGAAAGGGAAGTCTGTTCAGATGCAGCTACAAAGATACCTGCAACTGGTTGTAAATTACATGTGTAGAGAACGGGAAAAAAAACTTCACTTCTGCATTTGCTTATAGCCGCAACACCGCAATGCAGACACCAGTGAATGGTAAACAACCATCAATTTTGTGCAGCGTGTCAGCCACAAAAAAAAAAAAAATGTAGCGGACTGATAGTGAGTCAAAAGCAGAAAGACAGATGTGCCAGCTTTCCTACTGCGCTGCACCCCTTTGACCTAGCTGTCTGCAGTCACACACACACACACACACAGAGAGGTGTGTGTGTGTGTGTACAGTCTGAGCTCAGCAGGAGGACCTTCAGTTCCTGTTCACACTGTGCAGCAAACACAGTGACAAGAGCTAAACCAGAGCAGAAACCTAAGCAAGATCTCTTTTAAATTTAACATTGCATTTATTTACCTATTTATCTTTCTTTCTTTTAAATTGGAGTCTGTTGCTGTTTTTCTCACTCATCACAACCCTGAAACAATTTACTTACCCATTTTAATCAATCAATAAATCCAATGAGTACCTTCATAATACCCGACAGTCTTTTAATAATAGCAAGTAGCAAGCAAAAATGCATTTGCAAATTGAGGCATTGTTTTTATTTTAAGCAATGTGGCAGAATTAATTTTTATGGAAATTACACACCTCTAGGGGAATCAACACGTCTCCTATGTATAGACCGAGGATTAAAGTTTGACCTCTGTGTGAATGTGTGTTCGTGTGTATGCATGCACATTATCAAAGCCAGCTCTTCTGATCACACACACCGCTCCATCAGGCCATCAAGGCCATCGGACTGACATGAGTGTCCACTTACGCGGAGGAGTTGACGGTCGTGTACCCGGAGGGACACTCAGGGATGCAGGCTCCGTTGTGGATGACGTACTCGTGGCAGTCAGGGCTCTTGCTGTGCTCTTTTTCCCGCTTGCATCTGTTGTGGAGATCCTGGCAGAAGGCGAAGGAGACGCAGCGCCAGCCCTTGAAGGTGAAGTGGTTTTCGGGGCAGCGCTCCACGCAGTTGTTCTCGTGCTGGAGGCCGCGGCAGGCCACGCAGTGATCGGCTGAGTTGGGCTTCAGGCAGCCGCCCAGACACTGGTCGTGGCAGCACTGGTCGTCCTTGGTGCAGGCTCGATGTTTACACTGAACTGGGCACACTGCAGGTGAGAGAGGAACAGTATTAAGAACTGAATGTGAGCCTCAGGAAACAGGAGCTCATCGTCATTCTAACGCCTTCATATTATTTCAGTTCCTTAAGTGGCACAGGTGATTTTAAACAGTCTCTCGTCTTCATATCTCCAAAGAACGCCAAAGAAATCTCATATGGTCAGATCTGTGTCAGCAGGAGTGAAATCCCTCCTCACTGCACGCGCCAGCAGCCCAGAGGACCATCTGCCATTGTCCAACAAGCATATTGAACACAAACAGCAGGGATCCAACACAAGTTGACAAAAGACAGACACTTATCCAGAAGGCTTGGTGAAAGTGAGGCAGAGGGGGGAAAAAAACTGGCATTTGAAGGACACACTATTCACTATTTTGCAAGCGAGACACGTGCAAGATGTCTTTGCTCTGTTCCATTTTTGTTCTTCTAAAAAAAACAAAAGAGCTTATTTTATAAGTTTACAACAGTAAACTGAGCTTGCTGAAAACAACATGTATCAACAAGGTCTACTGACCATCTGCATGCTTTGACTATTTCTGAATATTTCTATTTCTGACTGCGGTGCTCCTACAAAACTGTTTGAAAACATGCTGTAAAATGTAGTTAATGTAAATGTCACATCCGCTTTTATGCTGTAACGGGTTTTTATAACTGTACATCCCAGGCTGCTGCATAGGTAGATACATATAGATAGTCTGTACTACCACTGTGTCACAATTCACAAAATCAAAATAATCTCACAACATCATTAACAGTAACACAAGAGAAATGATAAACATGTATTGTTAAGCACTTGGCTGCAGCGGCTTTAGTAAAAACAAGCCCTCCATCATATAAAGTAGCTGAACTAAACTTAAGCACAGGCCTCTTTCTAGCAACATGACCTACAAGCTTTTTGTGAGCAAGCAGGAGAAATAAACACACACACACACACACACACACACACACACACACACACACACACTGAAGTTCAGAGATGTTTCTGGGGCATAAAAATGATCAACTAAGGACGGAGACTCGAGTCTGTTGGTTGGCTGTTCGTGCATACATCATACAGCCTGTGTGTGTGTGTGTGTGCTGTATGATGCAATGTGCACGCAGCACAGCTAGCAGAAAGCAGCCACACACTCCAACAATAAACTGGCACCGGGGATGTGTGTGTGTGGGAGAGAGA